CTACCTTTTCTCTTGTGTATGGGTCATACTGTCTTGTTTCTTTGTATTTTCAATGATTTTACAGTGTATCTTGGGAAATATGAATGAGATCTAATGATCTGGGATACTCTGAAGAATATTTTTTCAGGAAGTTAACTGGGTTTCACTCAATTCTAAATTCTCTATTGCAGCATGCACCAGCTGAAATTTCTGTTCAGTTCTGGTAGGCTATTCTGGACTGCTTGACATCTGTCTCAAATTATGCACTTCAGAAATTTGGTCAGAGTTTATATATACAATTTGGGACTTAATTCTCTCTGATTCTCCCATCACTTTCCAACTTGTCTGGTAGTACCAAATCATTCTTTATGTTCTTTGAATGAGTAAGTATATGTTGCTGAGTTTTAAATATCCCACCCAATGTCAGTTGATACTGATGTTTGCCCCCAATTGATGTTTGTTCCCTTCTTCCAAATATTGATTCAGTAATTTTTATTGTTGATGTTGCTTTATAGTTCCTTTAGGTTTACTCGTTTTTTTACATTTTTCCAAAGTTTCTTTCTTTCTGGTTTTATTTATTTTTATTTTTTGGTACTAGGGATTTAACGTGGAGGAGCTCAATCACTGAGCCATATTCCCATCCCTTCTTTAGAGATGGGGCCTCACTAAGCTGCTTAGGAGCTCACTAAATTGCTGAGACTGACTTTGAACTCATGATCCTCCTGTCTCAGCCTCCTGAGCTGCTGGGATTTTCAGGCATGTGCCACCATGCTCAGCCATTTTGTTCAAAATTTCTAATTGTGATCTTTATGTGAGATGTGCCGTTTTTAAAATGTATACCTCCAGGGTTTAATCCCTAGCGCCCCCCCCCTCCCCCCCGCCAAAGTATACCTCCATTAGTACATTAACAATTACATGAAAGTGTTGTGAAGTATGGTAGCTTTTATAGAATACATTGTGTCTTTTCAAATTCAAATGTCATGGCCCTAATTCCAAATATGATTGCATTTGGTATAAACAGTGTTTAAAGATGTAATTAAGCTTACATGCAGCCATGGGGATGGGGCACTAATCCAATATAACTGGTGAACTTTTAAGAAAATGGAAAAACACCCAGGATGGGTGCACACAGAGGAGGACATGCGAGGACCCAGGGAAAAAGAGGACATCTGTAAACTACAAGGAGAGGCCTCAGGACAAACCTGTTGACACCTTGATCTTGAACTACCAGCCCCCAGGACAGTAAGAAAATAAATTCTTTTTATTAAAAAATCATATAATTCATGATATTTTGTTATAGTATCCCTAGAAGACTAAGATAGATTTAAGATTCTGCTGTAACAAATACCTAAATATGTGGAAGTAGCAATGGCACTGGATGATTGATGGAGGTTGGGAAATTTTTAAGGTGCATGCTAGCAAAAGCTTAGATTTCCTTCACAATTTTGTTGGCAGGGATATTGATGTTACAGCTGATTCTGGTGAGACTCAGACATAAAGGAGGAACATGATGTTGGAAACTGGAAGATAATCTTTGTTATAAAGTGATAAAAGCTTTCTAATTGTGTTCTAGTGTTTTTTGGAAAGTAGCTACTGCAAGTCATAAACTTGGATAGTTAGCTGAAGAAATTTTGAAGCATGGCTTTGAGAGTGCAGCCAGATTTCTCCTTACTACTTACAGTAAAATATAAGTTGAGAGAGATAAATTGAAGGATTGTTAAGAAAAAAATAAAAACAGAACTTAAAGATTTGGAAAAATTCTCAGCCAATCTGTATTTCAAAAAATGAAAAAGCATATTTTAATGAGAACACCAAGGATGTATGTGGCTGGAAAATAATTTGATAAGATACTATGGATGTGAACCACAGAACTAATCCGTCATCTTAGCTAAAGCCAGGAGAAGATAGGGTGCTATGCTAGCAGAAACACTGCCAGCTGGGATTGAAGAGGACAGAAATAGAACAAAAATGGAGTATTGGAAGTCAGGGCTTCACAGGATGATAGGAGAGAGCTGTTCAGTTCCAAACATGTATTGACTTCAGAGATCAGCAGGGCTGCCTTTCTCATGGTGGGCCCAGAGATCATAGGCCTGTGGGAATGAGGTTGTCTCCTCTGTTTCACTGGACACACCTGACATGGAACAAATCTCAGACATGAGGGTGCAGCTCAAGGCCTCAGAGACTAGGCCACTGCTTAGGGCTGGGGGAGTAAGCCCACTTCTCCAGGGTGTCTCTAAAACAGGATTGCCATCACAGTGTGCCCAGCAGGGAGGGCCACCTTCTGAGAGTTCTTTATGTATTCTAGGTATTCATGTTCTCTCAGAAGAGTAGAGAACAATGTTTTCTTTCAGTGGGTTCTTTTTTCACATATTCCTGTTTTTTTTTTTGAGGCTCAGAAACTTTTAATTTGATGCCATCCCATTTACTAACATTTGCCATATATCCCGAGCTTTGGGGGTCCTATTGAAAAAGTAGTTGCCTGTGCCTATGTGCTGGAGTGTTGACCCTAAATTTTCAACTTGATAATGAGTGAATCTATATTGACTATTTTTATTTTATTTGTCATCCTGGCTGGGCCATGAGATGTGCCAATGTTGGATCAAATGCTCTAAATGTTGCTTTGAAAGATTTTTGTTTGTTTTTGTTTTTTAAATGAAATTGACAGTTCAAACAGTAGTCTTTGAGTAAAGCAGATTACTCTCTATAGGGTGGTAGGCTCATGCAAATAGAGGTTCTTCACAAAAAGTGGCAGTTTTGTCTCCAGACTGCCTTTTATTAGAGTGGAAACATCCATCCTTCCCAGTCTACTCTGCAGATTTTTGACTTATCTGATTGCGTATATATGTGAGACAGTTATTTACAACAAGTATCTCTGACTCTACTATAGAAGAATAGTAGAGTCAGAGATATCAAGAATGTACCTAGAGAGTCTCAGAAATAAAGCAATACTGAGAAGAAAAGGAATGTTCCACTTCTTTTGCCAATAAGACACGAGACCCTGGGCTGGGAGGACATATAATTTAGTAGAGGCATGACAGAGGGGTGTAGTGACTGCAGGCACTGAAAATAAAAATGTACCTGGCATTGGAATACACGGGGATATTTAAAATCAGGATGCAGAGACTGTGCAACACTGTGTTTGGGAAAACTGGAAAGTCACTGGCATCCTGTGCAGGTGACTGCAATGTCTATTGCAATGAGGACCTCAGAACCCCAGGTCGACAAACTTCTGATCACTATTTGTTGATGGCTCAAGGTACACAGACTGCACATTGTCCATGGATAATTCTACTAATTGAAGAGCTCATTCAGTCCTCTCATGGGACCTAATTCTTGGCACAATACAGTCTTAAGGCATCAGTAATGCAAGAGAGCATGAATGCTACTCAGAGATTCAGAGGTAATGAGAAAACCTTAGAACAAAACAGATGGACAGCAGTCCAGTTGGTTTTCACTGGACTATGTGAGGCCAGGATGCCTCTCCAGCCTCTTACTAAGAAAGACTGAAGCTGAGTTCATTTAGAGGCTTCCTATTCTTTTCTGCAGAGGTCTTCATTTCTGAGACCAGGAGCCTCTGTCAAAAAGTGGATAGATACCCTGCAGTACATCCCTCTCTTCTGTTGTTTACACAATTTCTGGGTTTTATTTCCTTGTAACTGCAAATTTCATTCTGAACCGGGGTACTGGGTATTTCAGTCCATTGAAAGACATGAACGTCACTTGTCAAGAACTTAAGATAGTACTAATTGTTTCTAGTGACTGAACACCTCAGTCATCAGAGCAATGGGGTGACAGGAAGGCAAGATTTAAGGGAAAATTCATAGGTTTGATTTTCTCCAGTTTCCAAGGATGAGTACTGAGGTGCGCGTGTGCGCACATGTACACACACACACACACACAGCAGTTGCGCATTGTCTATCTTGGACTCTCATTAAAATTCACCCAAAGATGAAGAACTTAGGAATTCCTATGTCAAAAAACTGCTGAGAACAGATACTACTTGACCAAACAGCCTCCCTCTTTTTTTTTTCTTTTTCTTTTTCTTTTCTTTTCTTTTTCTTCTTCTTAGCCTAGAGTTCAACTGGGGAAGAAATGGAATACATAGGGCTCCCATGGTACCCTGCACAAACATTCACCAGAGAAACAATTCTCCTAGGAGCTCACTGAATAACAGGCTTTTTTCTTCATCACAATAAAGAAAAAAACAAAAACAAAAACAAATACTTACCATACTACTGTTCAGAAATCCTCAAATATGCTTCTAACTCCCTGTATCATTGTAATTAATATACATGAAAATTTATTTTAAAACAGAGAAAAGGACTTTCAATGAAACAGAATTACTACAGAAGTATGAAGAAAAAAAAGACTAAACAGGCGTGAAGTTAACATTTTTAATTATACAGAAACACTTATTTACAATTTATTTAAAATTTAAAAATCTGTGATCTTTTAATCTAGTTATTAAAAAAATCATTTATTTAATCATTGTGAGGAGGATAAAAAAGAATGGACATCAGGCTACAGTATTACATTTTCTTACTTTTTTGAGGGGGTGCTGAGGACTGAATTCTAGGGCTTTGCATATGCTAAGAAAGAATCTATCACTGAACTACTTCCTACCAATGGATTACTTCTTATCAAATCAAGGTAGGTTATTAAAAATATCCTGTTGGTTAATTTTCACAATAGTACATGGAGTGAGTTTCATAAGGATTATTTATCTATTTCTTTTAAATGGTGATCTGAATCCCATACAATTTAGTTTCGTTTACTTGATAGGGACCAACATATGGCATCACCAGAATTAGAAAAACAAAACAAACAAATTGAAAAAGTAAAATACATAATATATACTTGGCACACAGGTGGTCTTGGAATTAGTATCCAGGACATAAAAATGAGACTCCAGTAAACAGTCAATCCTAGCTCCCTTTCACACAACCTGTTTCATGGGATACTGATAGCACTGATACTTTCTAGTATTTAACAGAACAAATACTCACTGGGACACTTCAAAAGATATTTTGTACTTCATTTATTTTCTCACACTGATCCAAAGTATCAGTTACAATTTTTTAAGCCAAAATCAGTTTATAAAAAAAAAAAGCACATCCATTTTTGTTGTTGTTATTCAAGGTTATACGGCTAATCTGTAAAGGGACAGAATCTGAACATAGATACTCCATACACAAAACAACTACTGTTAGTATATACCATTTAGGACACGTCTTCTTAACTCCTTGATTCCTTGATGAATAAGAAGCATCATGGGTAAACTGACGTAGGGTTAAGGGATCATTCTATAGAGAGGTACTCCTATGCATAGCCCTCAGTAATATAGAAAGGTGGTAGAAAACTCTCCTTTATCTTCTGTCAATAGCAAAAAAGAATAGAGTTTTAAAGATTTGGCAGAGGTGTTACCTCAATAATGGGATTATTTAATGAGGAATTGGTCATTTTGCCTTGGAAGCATGGAAGATGATGGAGGGATAAACGTGATATTGGGATAAATCCTCATATGAGGATTCATAAATCCTTATATATACATCTATGAGTGAACGATTTCCTAACAGAAAGGCTGAAGACAGCAAGGAAAGGTGGATAAAATGGTGCAAGTGAGCTCAGGTGCATGGGATACACAAAAGGGCCAGAGGCACTGCACAAATGGGGTGAAGGTATAAGAAGTTTCAAGAGCTTGGCCAGTGTAGTGTCATGGGCTCTGGACATGTCCCAGGATTGAAATAAGGAAAAACTTCCTTAGGAAAGGAACATCTGGAGAATTTATAGATAAGAAACCCATGGTTTGTAACATTGTAAAATGAAAGTTCACGAGCCTCATAATCTAAGAAAACCCCGATACGTTGTGGAGGAACAGTCACAGAGAGGACCAAGGTCAAAGGATCACGGGCAGCATCCTCCCCAAAAGCATTATATTCAACATTATATTCAAATGTACGAAGCCCTATAACCCAATAGCCACATCTAGGTTGATAATTTTTACTCCGTCCTTGGAAATTTGAGGATTGAAAATAACTTCTATCACACAATCCCAGATACCAGGCCTCCTTCCTGGACACATCTACCATCCAGTAATGTTTTCCTGATGTGATAGGTGGGTAGCCCAGAACACCTTCATGATAATTCCCACGCTTGCGCCAGTATTGGGGTTCATATCTTAATTGTCTCTGGTCCTCAGAAATGACAATATTTGGATTGTTGCTTGGAGACAGTGTCAGGTGAACTGTAGAAAAATTAGAGTTACATGACAGATACAATTTAGCTTTATTTGTGATGTTATTAAAGGAATCCTGGGGCTGGGGATGTGGCTTAAGCGGTAGCGTGCTCGCCTGGCATGCGTTCGACCCGGGTTCGATCCTCAGCACCACATACAAACAAAGATGTTGTGTCCGCCGAAAGTTAAATAAAGGCATTCTACCTATCTACAACTACCAAAAAAAAAAAAAAAAAAAAAAGTCATAGAGATAGAACACTGCAGAAACAAGGTATGTGAGTAACTGTTGGAAGGAGCAACATGGACCTTAAAACATGAGAACTACCAGAGAAATCAATTCTGAAAGACGTTGAGGAGACTGTGGCTTATGATACAGTAATTTCTGCTTACCCCAGTAGCGTTGAACGTCTGTCAGCTCTGAAATGATAAAAATTCATGGTGTGAAATACAAAGGTGTCAGCACTGAAATCCATTCCCTTTCCAGATTAGGAAAAGGAGGAGGGATATCATAGGGCAGTAAACTGACAAGTGAGGATGAATGGCCACTCCCCATTAAATATGATCACATGGTGAACACACAGAGTCCACTCTCCCTTGTCTCCTCTACCCGTACCTAGAAACCAACATCTTCCCCATCTATCACCTGCCACCACTAGAATCACACATTAAATCTAGCTCTTCTCACTTTTAGACACCTGCAGCATCCCCTTCAGATCAGGAGCTCGGAATACTCTTCTTTGTTCCTTGGGGAAAGTTTTTGGCTTCCTCAGCATTAAGTCCTTACACCTAGGGATGGAAAAAGTTGACCCACACTTCAGACCTTGTGGTCCCCACCCCGACAACAACAATTTCTTCCCATCATTTCACCCCATTGATGCACTTGAATTTTCTTCACCAAGGATCCTGAGAAGGGGAGGGAAGATTCCTAACCCTGAACTCCTAAGAAATGTTTCATGGTCACCTCCCTATTTACTTTCTTTGTAATCTTGTGAGGGTCTTAACCTCTCAGAAGCATAGTTTCTAAAATGAATCAAGTTGCCCGTCTCTCTACCTCCTAGAATGCATGGTCAATGGTGAAATATTGGATTTTACAAAACTGTGGTGTCTAAGAAAAAAGAATATGAGGAATATCAGTGCTATGAATGTGTGTTCTGGAGAAAATGTTCAGAAACTAAGACTGCAGGTCCTGGCTCCTGGGTATTTGAGAAATAAGATATGTAAGAATCATATCTGGAAATATTCAAAGCTTATGGCTAATAGGGAAGCCCTCAGGTGACATCTGAGGTTTCATATTCTCTGGGGAAAAATGTCAAACATTTGGCAAGGGCAATACTATGAACACAAAAGTCATAGTAGTCTGAATTTTATGTTTCTGGAAATATGCACCTTTCCTAAAGTATGAGATGTACATGGATCAACTGATTCTGGTGTGATGCTATCCTTGCACACCAAGGCAGTGCCTTCTGGCACCTTCAACTTAGTTCCTGATGGTTCAGACTCCTTATTATGCAACTGGAAGATGCTTGTACATACAGAAACTCTTTCATACACTTTATCCCTGACAGACCAACTTCAACTTCAGTCAAGATTTTTAATTATCCAGAGATTCTAGTTTGTTTGTGAAAATCTAAATAGAAATCACAAAGAAGCCCTTGGTCTCCTTTATTCCCAGAAGAAACATACAAACATGCAGGAATTGTCCCAAAGAGTAATTCTTAGTATTTATCAGACAAAGAAGAAAAATCTTGCCTACAGTAAATAAAGCAGCCATTACAACTGCAACCAGAGCTAGAAGTAGGCACATGAGGGCAAGAAATGCTGGTGCCACAGGGGGTCTGATGTTAGAACATCTTATCCCCAGGACAACTACTGTTTCAAACTCTGACCTCCACAACCCACTTCCCCATCATAGAATCTGTCTAGTCCATACAATACTCAAATTGTGATTTGTGACTATAAATTTAAGATAATACTATATCTAAATTTACCTGATCTGGGAGATGTTGTATTCTAACTGAATGCCAGATAATTCTACTAAGGACAAGTCTCTTCTTACTACACAAAAGGATCATCCCTGGTATCGCACACGTACCTTCTCATGACATCATTCGTATCCTAGAAAGAAGGGGGAAAAAAACACAAGTTACTAAATCACAGACTGTCCTCACTGACCAAGCTTCATCACATTGTCACCAGCCCCTGCTCTGCTGAGAACAGAGATGGTCACAGTGTGATGAACAAAATAGCAAAGATAAATTCAAGGGCTGGGGATATAGCTCAGTTGGTAGAGTGCTTGCCTCACATGCACGAGGCCTTGGGTTCAATCCTCAGCACCACATACACACACAAATAAAAAGATAAGTTCAAGCCAGTCATTCCATGGCTCCCCATGAGATAATTTAAATAATACACAATTCGTTCACTTATTCAACATTTACATAAACTGATATACTATTATTTGCCAAGTATAAGCAGACTCTGGATAACCAAAGTTGAGTAAAAGACTGAAAGAAAAAGGAAAATGCCAGAATTCCACATAAGGCAAAAAAAATTCTTCAAAAATGAAGGGAAATAGATGTAATACCAGAAGAGAATTTAGAGTGTATTGCTGGCACAGGAGCTTGATGATTTTTTTTCTTATTTTGGATTTTTTTTGGGGGCGGCGCGGGGGGCCCACTGGGGATTGAACCCAGACACTTCCTCAGTTAGTGAGACTGACCTTGATGGAACTTACGATTCTCCTGCCTCAGCCTCCCAAAATATTGGGGTTATGGCATGTGCCATGGTGCGTGGCACAATATTTAAAGATGTTCAGCTGCAACCAAAATTCCTTCAACAAGTGGGTCAAATTCATAGAAAGAAATAAACTATAAAAAACTCTATAGTTCATTTTCCAAATTACTCCTTAATAATTTGGAAATATATTAACACAATAATTAAGTACTACTTTGATAATTTATATATGTATATTGTGTGTGTGTGTATATATAACAATAAGATCACAAAGAAGGAGGAAGGAAATGAAGTATTTGTTCCAAGTTTCTATATTTTGCAGGAATTAAGTTAGTATTGATGTGAAGCAGATTGAGACAGAATAGGGTGCATTTTGTAATCACCAGATCAAGCACTAAGACAACAAAAATACAGCTAGAAAACCAGGAAGACTAAATTTCTATCCTGGAATATATTTATTCAACAACAACAACAACAACAACAACAAAAAAGGCACTTAAGAGAAGAAAAATACCAAGAAACTTCAGAAGAAATATAGAACACAAATAACAAAGTAGTAAATATAAACACAATTATATCAGTGACTGCACTGAATTCTATGGTCTCCATATCCTTATCACAATAGAGATTGTCAAATAACCATCAAGCAAAAATAAATGACATAAAAAGGCTAACAATAGATGAAAAAAAAAATGTTCTTTAAGAGTTAATAAAGGTGATCAAATGTAACTAAACTGACTAAAGAAAGAAAAAGAAAGGCGAAGTGCAGTGGCACAGGGGATCACAAGTTCAAAGCCAGCCTCAGCAATTCAGTGAGGTCATAAGCAACTTAGTGAGACCCTGACTCATAATGCAAGGATGCTTCAACATACAAATTTTAAATGTGATGCACCACATTAACAGAATGTAATACTAAAACCATATGATGATTTCAAAAGATACAGAAAAAGCATATCATGAAGTTCTATATCCTTTCATGATAAAAACTCTCAACAAATTAATTACAGAAGGAATATACAATAAAATAAAGTCCATACATGACAAACTCAGAGGTAATACCATAATCAACAGTGAGATGGTGAAAACCCTTCTTCCAAGATCAGGAAAAAGCCCATTTTCACCACTTTTGTCAACCTAGTACAGAAAGTCTTAGCCCAAGCAATTAGGCAAGTAAAAGAAGAAACAGATATCCAACATGGAAGTTAAATTTTTCCTCTTTGCAGACAACATGATCTTATTGAAAACTCTACGGATTTCACAAACACACACACACAGAAATCTTAGAATAAAAAACTAATTCAGTAAAATTCTAGGATGTAAAATCAATATACAAAAGTTAATTGATTTTCTATACTAACAACTATCCAAAAGAAATGAAGAAACCCCCACTTATAATAGCTATAATAAAATAAAATACTTAAAGTTAACAAGGAAGTGAGAAATCTATATACTGAAACATATAAAAAAAGTTGATACAAAAATTGAAACAGACACAAAAAAGTGGAAAGATATCTTGTGTTAATGGGTTGAAAAAACTGATATAGAGAAACACTAAAATATTTCAAATTCAGCTAAAGAAGCAAAGCTGGAGGCATCACAATGAGTTTAAAATCTATAACAAAACTATGTTTTTTTTTTTTTTTTTTTTTTTTTAATAGGCACTCTACTGACAAAGCTATATTCTCAGCCCTGACCTGTAATCTTTTTTTTTAAATTTTTTATTTATTTTTTAGTTTTCGGCAGACACAACATCTTTGTTTGTATGTGGTGCTGAGGATCGAACCCCGGCCGCATACATGCCAGGCGAGTGTGCCAGCCCCAATAAAACTATGCTAATAAAGACACAAAACAATGGCAATGAAAACAGATTCACTTGTCAATGGAAAACAATAGGGAGTCTGGAGGTTGGTGGGATTGGGTGTATTTATGGTCAGTTGATTTTTAATACACTGTGTACCAAGAGTACACAGAAGGTTCAGGCATAGCAGCAATGCCCACTAAACCAGTGACTTGATCATATGTTCAAGCCAGCCTAGACAACTCAGCAAGATCCTGTCTCCAAATAAAAAATAAATAAATAAATAAAAAGGGCTAGGGATGTACCTAAGTGCTAGAGTTCCCCTTGGGTCAACCCATAGTGCTGGGGGTTAAGTACGGAGAAGAAAGGACTGTCTCTTGAATAAATTGCATTGGGACAACTGGATAACTATATGCAGAAGAATGATAATTAAGAACATATCATACCACATACAAAAATCATTTCACAGTAGATAAAAAACTTCAACATAACACATGGAACTGAAAAACTACTTGAAGAAAACCTAGTGCAAAACTCCATGTCATTGGTCTGAGCAATGATGTTTTGACTGAACCCCAAACCCTGGCAACAAAAACAAAATTAGAAAAATGGTACTACACCAAACTGAAAAGCTTGTGCACAGAAAAGGAAATAATCAACCAAATGAAAAGACAGGCTACAGAATGGAGAAAACATCTGCAAAGTATATGTTTTTAAGGGGTTAATATCCACAATATATAAAGAACACATATACACGTATAATTGAATAGCAGAAAAACAAACGTCCAATTTAAACACTGGCAAAGGACTTGAACAGACACTTCTCAAAAGAAGACAAACAAACTGCAGGTATATGAAAAAATGCTCAAAATCACTAATCATCAAGGAAACACAATTTAAAACTACACAGAGAGATCCCACTTCACACTTGGTAAGAAGACTATTATCACAAAGGAAAGGCAAGCATTGGCAAGGACATGGAGAAAAGGAAACCTTGGCAAAAATGTTGGGGGGAATGTAAATGAGCACAGCTATGATGACAGATAATATAGAGGCTCCTCAAAAATTTAAAAATGATCCAGCCACCCAGCAACTTGGACTATATCCAAAGTATATGAATAAGTATGTCCATGAGATATCTCTCAGATTTACTAAAACACTATTCACAATAGCCAAGCTTTGGAATCAACCTAAGCACCCATCAAAGGATGAATGGATAAAGAAAATCTCTCTCTCTCTCTCTCTCTCTCTCTCTCACACACACACACACACACACACACACACACAATGGAATACTATTCAGCTTTAAAAAAGACAGAAATCTGTCATTTGCAGCAACATGAAATGAACCTGCAGGAGATTACACTAAATGAAACAAGTCAAGCACAAAGAAACAAATGCTGTGTGATTTCATTTAAGTATGAGGAATGGGCAGAAAATGATCTCATACAAGTAGAGAGTTAAAATGGGGCTAGTCAGGGGCTAAAGGGCAGGGAGAATTGGGCACATATGTGATAAATACATACATTTTCTGTAAATTAAAATAGAGTCAATACATAGACACATAGACATTAAAAGGATTACAAAGAATTCTTATGATTAATTAGGATTACATATTTGAAAATCAGATGAAATTAACAAATTCCTATAGGATATCAATGACCAAAAACAGACTCAGGAAGTATAAATCTAAAACAGCCAGACACCAATAAAAAAGTTTAAAAATTTGTACCGCACCCAAAAGGGCAGAATGGACTGGGATGGCTTCACGGGTGAATTTCACTGAATATTTAATGAAGAAATAATACCAATCCTTCCAATCCCCCCCCCCCCCCGCCCGTAGGAAATACAGAAAGGGGAAAGTCTCAACTCATTCTATGAGGGAAATGATAGATACATCTCTTGTAACCGGAAGCCATTTGTTTGTCAGCAATGAAGCTGAGGAAAAGATGCTTAGGGCTGGGGATGTGGCTCAAGCGGTAGCGTGTGGCCCGGGTTCGATCCTCAGCACCACATACAAAGATGTTGTGTCCGCCGAGAACTAAAAGATAAATATTAAAAAAATCCTCTCTCTCTCTTTAAAAAAACAAAAAACAAAAAACACAAAGATGCTTAAAAAAGCAGAAAACAAGGCCTACCAAATATCACTGGTTACAGTGGATCTTCCCTCCAAGGTTTAACTTTTGAACTGCACTCGATAAAATAATAAAAATTGGATTATTTTCCTTGCTATTTACACATTTACTTATTCCATAAGCTTCATAATTGATTTGGGAATGAGGCACTTCAGGGCCCAGAGAAGCTGAAAGTCTTACCTGCAGCATCTCAACTGTTGACCCTTCCAACCGATGTTCCAGATCTGAGATGAAATCTTTCACCACCTGGCTCTGCTGGATCAGCTCACTTTCAGACTCTGTCAGGCTGTTCATAATAACTTCCTCCTCCTTCTTCAGCTTTTGAATCTCCTGCTTCTCCTCAGATTGGAGGATGTCTCTCAGTTTTCCAAACTCTATCTGGACATTTTCCACCTCACTCTGTATTTTGTTCTTTGGGAAGAGAGAGAGAGAGAGAGAGAGAGACTGGGAATAGGAACCATAAAAAGAACTATTTTACATGGGGAGTTCTCACAGGGTAGTCTTGGAACCAAGGGAGAGATTCTGAGGGAGGCCGATCTTTCCCTTTCCCTTCTTTCATGACATTCCAAAACAATGACCTTAAGTCAGCATTGTCCAGACTCAACCTGAGCTGCAATGGAATACTTGGGTGTGCCTCAGCTTCAGCTATCCAGGACACTCCATATCTGCTCCTCATTTCATTTTCTTTCTTTTTTTTTTATTAGTATAATAGACTTTTTTTAAGTCACTGCCTATGCACTGAGACAGAAGATGGTATTTACATAAGCAGAAGATGTAACATTTTACAACTTCTAAAATCAATCTCAACAATTACAATGACCTTGCATGTCAACACAAAGGGGAGGCATAAATGTTTAAATCTATGAAATCAAACTGGAATACTTACTGTAAAGAAAAATTAAAAAGCTTTCGAATAAAGGCCATTATTATTATTATTATTATTATTTTGGTACTAGGGAATGAACTCAGAAGCACTTGACACTGAGCCATAACCCCAGCTCTATATTATATTTTATTTAGACACAGGATCTAATTGAATTGCTTAGTGCCTCGCCTTAATGAAGCTCACTTTGAACTTGCCAACTGTCTCAGCCTCCTGAGTTCCTAGGATTACAGGCGTGCATCACCACAGCCGGCCTAAAGGCCATTATTGAACCTACATGAAGAGCACAACTTGAACTTTTGAATTCATTCATCTTTTAAAGCTCTCCTCTGAATAACTTCAGTTCTAACCATGGAATTCAGTACTGCGATTATTCCTTGGATTGAAGTTTGGCAATGATGTAGTCCAACTGCCTCCTTACTTCACACTGTGAGAAACTGCTCATGTCATAATATTGAGGGGCAATTTTCACCAGCCATTCTGGCTTGATATCTGTACATGTCCAGATGTAATTCTTTGTTGTTAGAACTAACTCATTATAAAGCACCTATTCAGCCTTGTGGTCAAGAACTCTAGAGGGATGCAACTGAATGACCTGATTACCTTTCACAGTTAAGTAATGGCCTGTTCCTTCTAAATGTGCCACCTGCATAAAATACCCAGTAACCAAAGCTTTTCTTATGTTAATATAATAGTCCCTGCTTATAAAGTCAGTACTTCTATGAGGCATAGAAGTACTTTATAAGTCCATAATCTGTCCATAATTTGAGATAGCTACTGGTGTACATTGTCTGTGGATATCAGGGACTGGTAGTTGATGAAGTTGCCATAACACCACTGAACTGACCCATGATTTTGTTTAAAAGCATAACAGACATTCAGCAGGGTCAGATGATCTCCATCTATGTGGGCAAATCTCATCTTGGCCTCCATGGGGCAAACAAAACACTGTGGGACTGACAACATAGCAGTAATAGATAGGACCTCATTAGAACAATTGTAGTTGCAACTTGCAATAACCATTTTAGCAAGCTGTGGATCTAGAGGAAACTCTGCCATCATGGATCCCAATTCAGTCAGAGCTCCATCATCACTTAAAGCACCCAGATAATGCAAAATTTCTAGGGTTCTCATCAGAGTTTCAGGAGCTGGTGGATCCATAAAATCAAAATGCATCAAATCATCAAAACCAAGTTTCTTCAACTGTAACACCACTGATGCTAAATTAAAATGCACAATCTCAGGATAGGTGTTATCCTGCATTCCTGTTTTATAATGTTTCTCTGTGTAAATCCTGAAGCATTTCCTAGGTCTGGTATGTCTAGCTCAACCAGCTCTGAAGCTGATCTGAAGCTGCTCTAATTGCTGTCACCAAAAGAGTGACAGTGATGTCAGTGATGTCCTGCAATGTTAGTTGACATGACCACCATTCTTCCAATTACTCCATTTTATTTATTGGGAGGTGGAGGGTGCTACTGCTGGGGTGGAGTGCAGAGAAGAGTGGAATGATTTTTTCTTTTAATATTCTTGAGGATAACACTTAGATAAACTGAGAAGAAAATTTAGACAAGTCTATGGTTTTCTCAATTCTGTACACTGTTTTAGAAATACCTTATCTTGATTTTTAAAAACTTTTGGTTTTTTATTCTAATTTGTTATATATGATAGCAGGATGCATTACAATTCATATTTTTTGGAATAACTTTTTTTTAAGTATTTATTTTTTAGTTGTAGGTGGACACACAATATCTTTATTTCATTTTTACATGTTGTTGAGGATCGAACCCAGTGCCTCACAGGTGCTAGACGAGCGCTCTACCAGTGAGCCATAACCCCAGCCCTGTGGAATAATTTTAATGTCACCAACTTCAGAACCCATAACATCAACCTCACGCTTTATTCTTTTATAGGCTTCACCAATTTCTTCTTGATTGGTAAAGAAAAGTGGAAGATCTCCCTCCTCCTCTTCCCACATATGTATCTGGATCACTGTTTGAATTGCTGCTTCAAGATAGTTTCTCTCTGGTTCTGGAGTATAAAAGATCTCAACAGGATGTATGAGGCTAGGCATAATTAATAGTGGACAGTGATCAAAGTAAATCCGAATTTTCCCTCATGTAGAGTAGTATTCGTAACTATTACCTTTAAATCGAATCGATGTCTCACAACTTGCATTAAAACACCCATGAGAATATATGTAGCCATTGTTCTTTCATGAGCCTTATCAACGATTATTACACCATAGTGCTCCAGGAGGGGATCGTTCATGGCTTAATGAAGTAACATCTCATCAGTCATATAATTAAGTACAGTTTTTGCACTACTGCAGTCTTCAAATCAAATGGAATAACCAACTTCCTGGCCCAATGTCACATCTATTTCATCAGCAACTCTCTGAGCCACGCTCATTGCAGCCACTCTCCTGGGCTGGGTACAGGCAACTCCTCTCTGGGGTCCTGGTGAAGATCGCACATACTCCACACACAACTGTGGAACTGTGTTGTCTTACCAGACCCAGTCTCACCAACCAGAACAAATAACAAATAACCGGCATATCTGTAAACCTATTCAAACAAAGAGCTGAAGTCATTTCTTTAGAATATCATAGTCATCAAGGTGTATGGGGTAAACTGGCAAGTGGATTAATACACTGCAGAAGTGATTTGAGTCCTGCATGTCCAGTGTGTGCTCTGAATGAGCAGAATGTGTTGAATGAGATAAATGAGAAGGTTTCAAAGGTCGTAATACAGCGCTGATAAGCATAGCAATTGGTTGAAGCTCACAATTCCTTCTGCCTTTCTTTCTCCCTCTCTTGCTCTCTAAGCCCTCTATCACATTCTCAGTCCTTCTTTCTCATGTTCCCTGCAGGCTTCTGGTTAGAGGAGTTATCCTCCCCTAGGTCCAACCGGCGCTATTTGGGCATCTTAGTCTCTGAGCAAGTGGTTTGGAAGGAATTAAAAAGAAAAAAAGGTGGCGACTGTATTGGCACAGTGGAGAAGAACCACTTAACTCTTGGGGATGCCCACCCTCCAGCTACAACTTCCTCATTCCACTCTTGAACCTCTGCCAAAAGCTGAACATCGAAGACAGAACCATGACCCATTGCCTAAGTATTCCTTCAGTAGAATCAGAGTCTCAAAAAGCACCACAGCAACAGGATGCCAGCCAACCTCACTGGAGTGCCTCCCTGTGAACAGCTCTCTCCAAACAGCTGTACTCCTTTGTGTTGTACCCACTCTCCAGCCTCCACTCCAAAAGGAAAAGGGCAAAGAGGATTATTCAAATGCTTTCCACCTTACAGACTGACATGAAATAAAGAAGAAGATCCTGCCCAGAGTTCTAGCTAATTCCCTCAGAAAGTATTTCCCCCTACCTTCCAGAAAGTTCTCTCAGTTTGGATGTCAACTTTCCACTCCTCAGCTTCTTCCCTGGATCTCTTCAGGTTTTGCAACATTTCCTCAAACTTCTCCTGTGAGAAAAGAATCACACCAGAGTCAAGGGAAGAACCTTCTTAGCGCCTAGAGAGAGGATAAACCTGGAAGAAATCAGGTTGATCTCAGAAGAAACTAGAGCTTTCCGAAACTGTGTGAACAGACAATGGTAATCTATGAACTGGAAGAAATCCTGTGGTGGAAGGTGTCTTCTCTAAGTCTCTGGTAATAATGTTACCAACCTCTCACCAACAGTAGTCTAAATATTTTTGCACTAGAAGAGGAACCTGATGTTGCAGCAAGGAAAGAACTCATATACCCACCCTTCTCATTCACTCTTCTGCTGAAAGAGCTTTTCTTCTACTCGAAATCTCTACAGATCTAGCACAAGGCACTGTATTTTTATGCTCCCTGTCCAAGAGTTTCTACTCCAGGCTTAGCAATTAAGTGAAGGTAAAAATTCAACCTTTAGGCCTCAGAAGGTAAGCATAGCATAGCATAGAAACAAATCACAGACATCGGTTCCATGACACAATGTAATTAGACTAGAGTGTAAAGAGGAGATATCGTCTCTGTCCTCCCCCCACCTGATCTCTTACCTGGTACTCCCGGACAACCTCCTCCAAGAGGAATGTGGAGTGTCCACGGTGCTCCTGAGAACGCTCACAAAGCCAGCAAATGACCTGCTTGTCCTCCTTACAGAAGAGTAGGAGTTTCTCTCCATGGCGTGCACAGTGATACACCTTCTGCTCCTCCTCTGGGTTCAGCTTGACATCCCTGAGCCTCTCCACTATGTTGGCCACATGCCGATTAGGCCGCAGGTTCTCAAACTCGTAACTGATTCTGCACACAGGGCAGCTGCTCTCCCCTTTTTGACTCATCATGGACTCATAGTTTGATGTGATGCAGGCCTGGCAGAAGCTGTGGCCACAGTCGATGCTCAGAGGTTTTGTCAGGAGATCCAGGCAGATGGGGCAGGTCACCTCCTCCTTTACATTCCCCAGGATTGCTGAAGCCATAGCATCTGTTTTCCTGCTCCTGTCTGTCCTGACTTCTGAGATTCCTCCTGCTCAGATTCCTACATGATTGGAAGATTAAAAGTGGGCAGAGTAAGAAAGGTTGAAATAGAATGGATACTGACTATGTAGAAATTATAATAGACCCAGACCAAAATTTTTAAAAAAGAGGAGAAACAAAGAACAGAGTTTGGTAACATGGTGTAAGATCTTTTCATAATAAATATCAAGTAGGTCACGTCACATGATAAATTTCATATATGTAACGACTGTTATTTCCCTTTACTATTACTGGAAAGGCAGAGAAATAGAGGCCTGTTCTAGCAAGAATTTTGTGTAACCTACCATCTATCCTTGCCTGTTTTTCCCCAGGCCAAAACACATCCTCAATGTTAAAAGCACCAAACCACTTATGCCTCAGGCATTTCACCCTTGCTCTTTCCCAGTATAGAAAGCTCCCTGATATTAGTATGACTCCTTACCTGTTATCTTATCACAAAGAGCTGCTCTGACTACCTTACCAAGAGTTCAAACACCATCATCTCTGATACTTATGCAATGCTATTTTTTCTTATCAAAAGTACATAATAAATAAAAATGAGTGTGTGCTCCTGGAAGTGTGTCTGAACCTCATAAGTTATAATCCTTTCACTAGATGTGTGAATAGAGATACTAAGTGACTTACTATTTTCAATGTGATTTATCTTCAATACATTGAGGTGAGATGAACTTATTCCATTTAGGGTCCATTTAGAAGTCTCCTCTCTACATTACAGTTAATCCAAGACAAAAGAGCTAACTGCATAGTTACCTGTTAGTCTTGTATCTACAAAATGTCACTGATGATGTGTTAGCAAATGGATTAAATATCAAAAACGTAAAATGAGCCCAAGCACAGTATAAACAACTAGGGATTAATCAACTGGACAGGCATAGTAAATTAAATAGCCAGAAGGAGCAGACATGATAAACACTACTAGAGAGATGGGCAAGTTGCTGCAAGACTAAACAAAAGGGGCAAATAGAAGATTTTCCAAGAATTCCAAGGTGAAAACAAAGGTTTAACAAACCAAAAAAGCATGAAGGGGAATATGGGATGAAAAAGGGGACAAACGTGTTAGGTAAAATAAATCACCCTTATGAAGAGTCTACTCATGTATGACACAAGCTCTTCAATGTTTTTGAAATTGCTAGCATAGGCTGGGTGTGGTGGCATGTGCCTATAATCCCAGCACCTTGGGAATTCAAGGCAGGAAGATCGCAAGTTTGAGGACAGTCTCAGCATCTTGGTGCAGACTTAAGCAACTTGTTGAGACCCTTTCTCACAATAAAAAATTAATAAAAGGGCTACGGATGTGGCTTAGTAGTTAAGCACACCATGGTCCAATTACCAGTACCTAAGTAAATAAACAAATGAAGAAAATTGCCAGAATGCCTGATGTACAGTGAGTTGTAGGGCTTTGGTATCATATAAGTCTGCAGGAAACAGAAAATGTGACACTTCTCAATTATATAACACTTAAGGACTATTTTCTAATAATAGAGAGAAAATATCAGTCTAAAAAAGTTCCTGTGTCACCCCAAACAGAGCTTTGCCTGAATCATCCAACTGTGTGTACTGGGGCCAATCTGACAGCATGCCTACCTCTCAGGGAAGCAGAGCCCCCATTGAGCTAGTCCATCCTGCTCTTCAGGCCAAAGAGCAGAGGTGCCCTTCTTCCTCAGAACCAAACTTGCACTCTGGAATCTGAGCTGCTGTGGCACCCAGCCTCCCGGGAGTGGAGTCATCTCTTTGCCATACCATCTTTGAGGCCTGAGCTGCTGTGGTGCCTCAACTTCTCAGGACAAGGTGTTATCACTGCACTGTTCCTGAGATGGGAACTGCAAGGCCTGAGCCACAGCTGTGGCCCACCATTCCTAGGTCTTTGCTGCTGCTGCACCATGGCCCCCAGAGCCTGGGCTTCCTCAGAATCCTACTGTCTTGGTCCATATTTGTGCTGCTACAAAAAAATACCTGAGACTATGTAATTCTTTAAAAACAACAACAACAACAAAAACATTCATTTCTTAGGTTCTAAGGGCTAGAAGGTCCAAGATTAGAGATCTATGTCTGCTGAAGCTTTCTTGGGCATCATCTTGGGGCAAAAAGAAGTAAAGCGCATACATGAAAGAGACAGAATATGAGACAAGTGGGAAGGAGGCCAAACTCATCAGCACCTCACTCCCATGCTAGCTCTCTCCTGTAATAACAGCATTAATCCATTAATGAGGACAGAAGCCTCATGACCTCATCACTTAGAGGGCCCACCTGTCAACAGCATTGGGGATTAAGTTTACAACATGTACATTTTAGCATAGATTTGAGGGTTTGCCCCATTCCACCCCATGTCAGAGCCATAGCTATATGTTCTCTCCCTGGGCCTCAGCTGCTAGGGTACACCTCAGAGTCTGAGGGTAGGGCTGTAAGGGTGACCTACATATACCCTGGTTAATGATCTTATGAACCAGAAGTTCCTAAGTGCCACAGAAGTTGGTTCCACAAGTCTCTAAGTCCAGGATCCTTGCTCTGCAGCCACTCTGAACATATGTACCCTGGAACCCAAGTGGCATCTAAAAGCTACAGACAGGACACCAGCTGTGTTGCCATGGCTGTTGCCACAAGTTCTTGCAGTGCAGGCCACTGAGTCACATTCAGACTTTGCACATTGATTACAGCTGACAGAGCTACATGAAGACTCCACCATTATGCCTACCTAAAACCAGAGCCACCCCACCCTGTTCAAGTGGCACTCTTGTAGTCACCTGAAGTGAAAGTCTTTCCCCAGAAAAGATAATCTGCAAAGTTAACATGCAGACAGCCACATGTATACTCAAGAAGTGTGAAGAAGCAAAGAAAGAGGAATCTATCAAAGGAACCTCCAGTAACTGACCCAAGGAAATGAAAATCTACAAACTGCACCCAAAGCAATTCAAAATAACAACAAGCAAAGGAGAAAATCAGCAAACTTAACAAAAGAGCCACAGAGAAATACTGGAACTGAGAAATTCAACAAAGGAAATGAAAATTGCAGGAGACAATTTCAACAGATTAGCTCAGGCAGAAGAAAAAAAAAATCAACGAATTTGGGAACCTAGGTACGGTGTGCATGCCTGTAATCCCAGCTACTCAGGAGGCTGAAGCAGGTGGACGAAACTTCAAAATTAGCCTGTGTGACTTAGTAAGACCCTGAACAAAAATCTAAAGGCTGGGGATGTAGCTTACTTGTAGAGTGCTTGCCTAGCATGCACAAGGCCTTGGTTTTGATCTCTAGTAAAGCAAACAAAGAAACAATGACAATAAAAACAAAACACAAGTGGGATTTATCTGTGGCATAAAAAACTAGCACATACAAATCAATCAATAAGACACATAATATTACAAACAAAAGATTAAAACCACATGGTGGCCAGGTGTGGTCATGCAAGTCTGTAATCCCAGTGGTTGGGGAGGCTGAGGCCGGAGGATCTTGAGTTCAAAGTCAGTCTCAGCAAAATTGAGGCGCTGAGCAACTCAGTGAGACCCTGGTCTCTAAAAAAGGGTTGGGGATGTGGCTCAGCAGTAGAGTGCCCCTGAGTTCAATCCCTGGTGAAGGGCTATGGAAAATAATATTCCTACAAGAATCCCCCACCCCCAAACAACAGAGGGACAGTGTGACTCAGGAGAAGGAAAGGAAACTAGCCAAATATTAAACCTCTCCTAGAAACAAGGGGCCCCAAGGTAAAAAAGCAAACTTTCATCCCTTCCTGGGTTCATCCCCAGCATCTCCACCAAAAGCAAACATTCATCCCTTCCCAACCACAATCAATCCTGAAAGGAGGAGGCAGGTATTGAAAAGCTAGGCCCTGGACTTTTACCTTTTCCCATTGCAGATGAGTTCTGGAAGGTGAAAAGCCAATAGTGAAACTCTAGGCAACAATGGGTCCCAAAGGAAGGAAGATAAGCAGTGAACATGAAAAACAAAACAAAACAAAAAAAAGTTCTGAGCTTTTCCCAGTGACAATGAGTTTCAAACTTTTGACAACTGCCTTCATGAGCTAAAATTTTAACCTGCACAACTAGGTCCCTGATTGTTCCAATAGCACCTCTACAGTCTCCAATGATTAATTCACCCTCATTGTAAATTATAAAACTCAGACTCCTTCTGTAATCTGCAGGCCATTTCTGTAACCAGAAAATGAGCCCTCTCATGCCAAATTGATTGACTGCCCTGTAGAATAAAGGAGAGCTTGCTGATCTGTTTGAGGTCGGCTTCGATCCTGGTTATTTGTATTTTCATTATGTTGCGGAACCATGCTGGTTATTTTTACTTACACCTGGTAGCTTCCCAACAAACAAACAAACAAAAATGATGACCACAACTGGTGCATGAAAGCATCTGACAAAGTACAACATCCTTTCATCATTAAAAGTATAAAAATGTAGGAATCAAGCTGGGCATGGTAGTGCAGACCTGTAATCTCAGCAGCTAAGGAGGCTGAGACAGAAGAATCACAAATTCAAAACCAGCTTCAGCAATTTAGCAAGGCCCTAAGCAACTCAGTGAAACCCTGCCTCAAAATAAAATAGAAAAGAGAGCTGGGGATGTTGCTCAATGGTTAAGCAGCCCTGGATTCAATCCCCAGTACCAAAAAAAAAAAAGGAATAAAAGAAAAATTTCCTCAGGATAGTAAGGACCATATATAAAAATGCCATAACATAACATAATTAATAGAGGATAAAAGCTTTTCTTTGAAGATCTGATACAGAACATGTTCATATTTGTCATTTATGTTCACCATAGTACTGAAAGTGCTGCTGAAAACTCGGTCCTTGTCCCTGATGACAATCCAATAACGAGGATGTAGTTTTGAAAAAAAAGAACAAGAAGGTTTATTGCTTTATTTGCAAAGGAGAAACATGGGGGATTCTTGCACCAAAGGCTGTCAGCAGAAAGGGGGCTTTTAAAGAGGTGATTCAGAGGCTACATTCCCTGTGTGCTCTGTGAGAGTTGTAATTTACTCGTTAATTTGGGAGATAGTCACT